AATGAGATTGTGTTCTTAGTTTCTCTTTCTGATACTTCATTATTGGTGTATAAAAATGCCACCGATTTCTGAAATATATTTGTGTCATGCTACTTTGTTGAATTCATTTATTAGCTCTAGTAGCTTTTTGGTGGAGTCTTTAGTGTTTTCTTTGTACAATATTATGTTATGTGCAAAAAGGACAGTTTTACGTCTTCCTTTCCAATTTGGATGCCTTTTATGTCTTGTCTGATTGTTGTGGCTAGAACTTTCAGTAGTATGTTGAATAAGAATGGTGATGGGACATTCCTGTCTTGTGGCTGGTTCTAAGGGAAACACTTGTAGTTTTTGCCCATTTAGTATGATGTTGGCTATGAAAGGTTGTATTTGGACATGGTAATTCTAGAATGTCTTCCCAGCATGTGAAAAAAAGACCTTACACTCTTTCTTGAAGTTCTTCCTCTAACTCTTTCTCAAAGTTAATGTCTTGGATATATATGATAATAAGAGATAGTGTGATGAAAATTACAGTACCAAATTACAAGTTTTTTTATGCCAAAGCTCTCTGCTTACTTATTTGAGAGAGATGCTCATTGTGAATTTTTGAGTAATGTTTCAGTAGTAACTATTTTCTGAGTACCACTATGAGGTCTACCCTGGCAAAATAATTAGTAAAAAATGATGCCTCTGTGCTGTTCAAAACTGCTTTTTAATTTTTGGTAAATGATAGCTAAATAGAAAGCTGATGGTAAAATAATACTCTTTCTTATTTTAACATTAATAAACAAATATTTGTATACTGAGGTTGTTCTTATTTTCAATTAAAGTACTGAAAATAACTTCTAAACTTGTTTTCAAATTACTAATTAACATATGGATGCTTTTTAGTATCCATTAGCTAAAGTAATTTTGAATCCAATTTCTTCATGTTTAGTTTTATAAAGACATCTTAAATTAGCCCTTCTACTTTGAAAACTTGGCCACTTTTCTTCCCTAAGCAGATCATGTCTTGGTAGACTTATTTTCATCCATGTTAGCTGGGGGGGTCTCTGCAGGCGGAGCCCTCCCACAAGAAAGTATACAAGTTTCATTCTTTTGCATGTGTCTATCCAGTTTTCCCAATGCCATTTATTAAAGAGTCTTCCTCTTAGGGTTCCTGCAAAGATGGAGATGTAGGTAGAAACCCTTTGCTTCCTTGCACAACCAAAAGGAGGATAACAACCAATATAAAAACAATAAACAACCAGAAGTGTCAGAAAATCAAACTGCATTGAACTCCAACAGCCAAGGAATTAAAAGAAACCGTCAGCCAGACCAACCAGACCGGTAGGAAGGAGACATGCAGACAGGCCTACATAGAGAACCCGCAGCAAGGCAGACCATGCGGGCAGGGCTGGCTGAACGAGAAACAGAGACTCACAACTGACTGTGGACTATGGTAGGGGTCACCGTGGTGGGAAAAACTCCCAGTCTCACATGAGAGTTTGTTGGAAAGTGGGCGAGAACCCAGCAGGCAAGCTGCATTTTTCCCTCTGACCCCTTCCCCACAGACGGTGTCACAACACAGCAAAGAGGGTTGCCCTGCCCTGGCAAATACCTAAGGCCCTGCCCCCCTACAACTTAACAGGTGCACTGAGACAAAGAAATATGGCCCAAATGAAAGAAGAGAGAAAAACTCCAGAAAAAGAGCTAAGTGATGGGGAGATAGCCAACCTATCTGACTGGAATTCAAAACACTGGTAATCAGGATGCTCACAGAATTGGTTGAATATCATCGCAAATTAGAAGGAAAAAATGAAGGCTATGAAAAGTGAATAAAGGAAATGTATGGAGAACCAACAGTGACAGGAAGGAAACCAGAACTCAAATCAGTGATTTGGAACAAAAGGAAGAACTAAACATCCAACTGGAATAGAATGAAGAAACAAGAATTCAAAAACATGAAGAGGGATTTCTGGTACAACCTGAGGGATCTCTGGGACAACCTGAAACATTCCAATATCTGAATCATAGGGGTGCCAGAAGGAGAAGAACAACAGCAGGAAATTGAAAAGTTATTTGAAAAAATAATGAAGGAAAACTTCCCCAATCTGGTGAAGCAAACAGACTTCCAGGAAGTCCAGGAAGCTCAGAGAGTCCCAAAGAAGTTGGACCAAAAGAGGAACACCAAGGCACATCATCATTAAATTAGCCAAGATGAAAGATAAGGAGAGAATCTTAAAAGCAGCAAGAGAAAAGGAGAGAGTTACTGTCAAAGGAGTACCCATAAGACTGTCAGCTGATTTCTCAAAAGCAACCTTGCAGATAAGAAGTGGCTGGAAAGAAGTATTTGAAGTCATGAAAGGCAAGGACCTACATCCAAGATTACTCTATCCAGCAAAGCTATCATTTAGAATGGAAGGGCAGATAAAGTGCTTCCCAGATAAGATCAGGTTAAAGGAGTTCATCATCACCAATCCCTTATTCTATGAAGTTAAAGGGACTTATCTAAGAAAAAGAAGCAGATCAAACCTATGAACAGTAAAATGACAGCAAAATCCCAACTATCAACAACTGAACCTCAAAAACAAAAACTAAGCAAACAATTAGAACAGGAACGGAACCAAAGGAATGGAGATCACATGGAGGGTTGTCAGTGGGGAGGAGGAGCAGAAAGATCTGGGTTAAGGTCCAGGGAATAAGAAGCATAAAATAGTAGACAGGTAGAGGTTAAGAATGGTATAGGAAACAACAGTCACAGAACTTATATTACAACCCATGAATATGAACTAAGAGGAGGGGAAATGCTGGAGAGTTGGTGGGGGCTGGGCAGAGGCGGGGGATAAAGGGGACAAAAATATTGGGAAAACTATAATAGCAAAATCAATAAAATATACTTAATAAAAAAGAAATGTACACTTGAAACCTATATGATCTTATTAAGCAATGTCACCCCAATAAATTTGATAAAATAAAATAAATAGAACTAACAAAAAATATTGTATAGAAAACCAAGTTTTCTAGACTGCAATCAGGTTAAAATGATGAATGTACAAATAGTGTTGGAATGGCTAAAAAACCAGATTTACCTTTTGTGGTGGTGAGAACAGGTTGTGAGAACAGATAGCATTTTAATCATAAATTAACAGGGAAATTTTATTTTACTTTATTATGTGGAAACCCTAGTGTAAATTGTAGCTGTCAGATGAATGGATAGGGCCAGATCATTGCTGCTGTATTTGTGTTGTGAAGCATGTTTACAGATAAATGAGGGGAAAAATTACGTGACTAGTAAATTAAATGAAGTTTATAGGCTTTCCTAGGAGATTTTACAGCTTTTGTAATATTTTAATGTGCATTTTGTGAATGGTGGGGAAAGGAGAAAGTTTACAGGCAGATATAACAGACCCCTGGAACTCTTTTTTTCTCCCCCAAGTATGTCTTGGGGTTGTCATTTCATGGAACAAACTTTAGGAAGCTGGTCCAGGTTATTCTTAAAATAACTTTCTTATATAAAATTCTATAATCCTGTGAAGAGTTCAGGGAGTGTACATAGTTAATTCTTCCATTTATTGTTCCAGGAACTTTGGTTTTTATAATCTTAAATTGGCCCTTCGTGTTGGGTAAAGAGGGTAGCTGAGCTTAAACCATAAGAGGGAACCTATGAAAGAGGAGAAGAAAGGGTCTTCACAATAAATTAATTTCATTATTTCATTGGCAGTCAAAGAATAGCAGGTATGCCTGTTACTACTTATTTAAAAATTACAAAGCCAAATATTATTTTTTATTGAAGTTGAATGTCACTTTCCCACTTACCCTACAACAATTTCAGGCTCTGACATATAGTACACGCTGTCTGTTTTTTTTATCTGGTTTTTATTGTGACCTATAATGCAAATATGTTAAGTAATTTCTTACTCTAGGCATTCTTTGTTACAATTTTCTACTTTGTTACTTGCATTATATAATGTAATAGCTAGAAATATCTAATAAATGATTATGTGGGTTACTTTCCTGTCCTCTTGGCAAAAAAATCATTTTCTAGGACTCTAAAAAGCAACTTAAAAGATTGATGATGGAATGTGAAGGGCAAAGACAGAGGGCATAAAAAGATGTAAAGTGAACCAATTCTTCAGCTAAAACCTGTAGGAGGAATAAAGCAATTTAACAAAGTTAGGGAATAGGAAGGGTGAAGTCAGAATAGGTGCTGAGCTAGGCTGTTAGACAGGGCAGAGGTTGAGTGATCACCTGGGAAAGTATGTGTGTGGGTGACACAAAACAGAGAAGTTTTTCTCTGTGAATCAACTCTGTGTTGCTTCTCTTCATAGATTCCTATATAAGGACATAGTCTTCTTTTCTTTGTGTCTGTGTTAGAAACCTTGATCTGGTTCCTGTTTTTGGAAAAATGAATATGGTCTTTAAAAACATAAGTACAAATAGGTTTTGTCTTTACTGTTTCTAAGGGACATCTTCCCAAATCTTCCAGTTTCTGTTTACTTTCAAATATAGAATATAAGTGTGTATTCCCTTCTGTTCACTGTGGCAAATTGCAATCTAAATAAAATTCAAATACAAGAATAATAAATGTAGTAGCTGTTTTATTAAAACGCAATTTTAAAAAATGTCTTGTGAGTTGGGTTATTTTCCTGTAGTTAAGCTCTGATCCTTAGGCAGTTGATGAGTCCCCTGAGACTTGGTTTCTGTGTGTGTGAAATAAAGCCAGTGTCACTTGTCTCATGGCATTGTTGAGATTAAATGAGCTAATAAGGTATATACACTGCTCAATAAATGGAAACTAGTTTTAGCATTGTTTTTATAATTATAGTGAGTTTTGATATTCACTATGTCAGTTTTCTTGTTTAAGAAGAGAAAAATCTTGTAGCAGTTGAAATGTTTGTGTTAAATAATCTATGCTACTTCCTGGGGGGAAAATAGTTATTTAACTGGGCTGTTGTAAGGTAACAATTATAATTTCTTTAAGTAAAAATTTATAAATGGTAATCATTAATAGTCAATTTAATGTTACTTGCTTTTCTTTTCAGGAGTGGACGGTTTTCTTGTGAGCCAGCTGGGGGTCTCACCTCTTTGACTGAACCACCCAAAGGACCTGGGTTTGGTGTGCAAGGAGGCCTTTAATTTATATTGGATTGTAAATATGTCACTTGAAAATAAAATATCAATCTTCTATACATACATTTTTAATATTATTTGTTCATTTCAGCCTTTGTACACCTTGGTGGTAACCTAGCAACTTGCACCTCTGTAAGTACCATGTCAAAACATCAGAGCTCCATTTTAAGATCTTCAGCTATCTATGGCTAACTATGAAGACATTATTCCATAATCTAGTTAATAGTAACTCCAATGCCCCTGTTTTCAATTGCCAGGTCATTTTTATCAGTAATACTAAGTTATTGTGCCATAAAAATTGAAATTTCAAATACATTTTGCTTTTCCATCTTTAGCCATAGCCAAGTCTTAAGTTAACATGATCTTTCTATAAACCTTATATATGTCAGTGTACCCTTTAAGTATTTTTATATTTATAGCACTCAATTGTTACTGTATATCCAACTGGTAACTGATATCGCAAGTGGATTATAGGTATAAGTAAGGAGTCAAGATAGTTGTATCTAGATCATTTGAGTCCTTTAAAAAAATTTTGCCCATTTTTCTTGAGAATTCTGTCATATTTAACATTAAAACACTGCTTTTAATGATGGTGCTCTGAATACCTTTTAAAAATACATGACAGGTAAAATTTCATTATAATGATCCAAGATGGTTCCAAACTGTAAGTGAATACAGATTAAAATTTCCTTGAAATTTCTAACAGCAGGAGATGACAACTATATCCTGGCCTATGTGTTTATCACCACTCACTCCCTCATTTCTTCTCAGTTCTTAATGGGGCTGTTTTTTAAAAAGGTATATTTGGAGACAAAATTTACTTATTGCCATTTAATGGCAGAAATAAACCAAGAAACCAATTTTTCATCCTTCCTATTGGCAAAGAATTTAATGCCTATTTGGTGATTGTTTTGTTTTTGAGCTGATACTTAAAGTTACTAGGGGAAAAGCTACTGAATCCTCAGAATTGCTTGCTTTGTAATGAAGGGGCCATTGCTCCAGATAATTCTTAAGAGCACGTGATAATAGTTGTCAGAGTATTCACTGCAAAGACCTTACATCTGTATAGATTAAGTCATATAATAAACTATGTTCTGAGATTATATTTTTCATTTATTACATTCACCTTCCTGAAATAATGGCAGTTTCTTTAAAATGATCTAACTAGACTTACTGTAGTAAAACATGAGTTGTTGATTCTAAAGGTGTGAATATCTAAGATGGAGAGTAAATTTTGCCTAATGGGTTCTAGCTCAGTTATCAAATAACACACGTTTTATGTGTCTTCTAGTAATAACCCTAAGTAAATGTGATGAAATTTAACTTGGGTTAAGAATAATATTTAATGCTTGGGATCCTTGACCTCCTGGTAATGTTAGGAAGACAGACATTTCATCCACTTGCTGAAGATGGATTCTAGGACTTGAACTAATGGAAGACCAGGCTATACAATTAAAAGCCGTGTCAGCAGCATCCTAATCAACTTGCTTGTGGATATAAACTAGTTTTTTTCAGGCTTTTGAGACCTCTATCCATATCTCTAATAAGAATTTATTGATTTATGTATCTGGCTTCACATTGCAAAGGAAATTTACCTTAAGTTTTTTTTGGACCTTTCAAATAAATAGTTGCTGATTTATAACTTGCCACATATAACCTTAATGTGAGCTTCATGAAAAAATTTTTTTTGCAATTTGATTTCCACAAATAACACTTATAGGTAGTGTCCTGTTGAGTGTAGTCAGCACAGTGACTTGGATCATGGTTGCCTGAGTCTTTCATGTATTCAGTGGTTTTAAGAAAGTTGAACATATAGCTATTGCCATAAGCCATAGTTAATTCAAATTCAATATTAGCTACCTTTCAATTTTGGTGTTAGGTACTTAGTACTATACAAATAGCTATTGCCATTGCCATCCATACTAGTCAAGTTCTATGCCAGTTACTTAAATGAGAAACAACTTAATGATTTAAGCAGAGTTAAATTTTTAGTAATTGTTTTTTTCTTTGTCTGTTGTGCCATAAGTATCCGAATCAAATTTAATAGTTTTCCACCTGTGGCTACAAGTTGCTCTCAGTATTATTTTGGACCTATGTTTTAGAGTAGGAAAATAGGGAACTGGAAAACGAAAAAATACTGTTACTTAATGCAGGTTTATGCTTTAATATAGTTACTTGTTGGGATTTAGCTTTCTTTGTCAAGTTTGAAATGTTACATTGTCTGTGGTGACAAAATTTGTAACTGTACTCATTAAGTCACAAGTGGGTTCTGCTGCGTAGAGGCCATTATTAATGATGAGGAAGGTGGTTTCACTCCAATTATAATCCCTTTGGTGGTTAAAATAAGACATGGCACAAATTTTCGAGGATTAAACCTCGATGTAAACAAAGTGTCCAGAAGGTAGTTGGGATAAAATGGTTTCTCTCCAATTACGTAACCCCTTTGATGTTAAATGAAAACATGTACAAATTGTAACAGACTAACCTCAATGTAAACAGAAAGTATTCAGAAGGAAGTGAGGACCCGCTGCTGGGAGATGCAAAATTTTCCTTACGCACTTTTCTCTGGTACCTGCTATGTTCTCTCTGAAATACCAACTTGGATGTTGAAAAAATTCACTTAAATTTGTATTAAAATGTCATTGGAAGATGTGAATGAGAGAGAGCGTTATTATCAAGTCTGTGCTGTCCCTGCCCTAAGTGCACGTTCCAGTTCTTTCCAGACAGCTTCACACACCCATCTGGAGCAAGCGAAAGTATGCAAGAAGCCCGCCCTCTGAGCCACCAGCACACGTAGGGGCCCCTAGGGCTCCCGCACAGGTGCTGCGGCGCAAGCGCCTTGCGGCTCGGGGAAGGGCGGTGTGCTGATCCCCGCCTCTCCGGACGCACCGGAGCCAGCCGGGGGTAGTAGCCACAAGTAGAGCGGTAGACGCTCCTCCTTTGCTTCAAACCGAAGTAGCAGCATCGAGCCTATAAACCCGCCCATCCGTCCCTATAAAAATACTGTGAATACCCCATGCAGACTCTATTTTTCTTCGATACCGCCGCCATTTCCAGAAGTTTGCAGTGCTATCCATTGACCTGATCGCCACAAAAAGCTACTGCAGATTCCGCTGGCCGAGCAGCGTCAGCGACTCCTGTGCTGCTTCCTTGCTCCAATTTCTCCCCTCTAGGGCTGGTGACAGTGGAGGGGAAGCAGTGACAACTGGGTGGGGTGAGGGAGAAGGACAAGCAACTCCGGGTGCAGTTCCGGACTGCACCTCCCCCACCTCCCACTTGGTACCTTCCGACTTCCCCGCCCCGTGGCTGGCGTCGAGCTGAAAGAGAGGCGGAGCGGCGGGGAGGGGCCGGCGGAAGGGGTGGGGCGGTCACGCCGCGTGTCCCGTGCCCGCGGAGTCACGTGGCCGTACCGCAGCCAATTGCCGGGCGACGCTGCCCTGCGAGCTAGGAGGCTGTGGTGAGAGACAGACCGAGACCGGAGATGTTTTTAAGCCCGGCGTCGGTGGTGGTAGTGGCGGTTGCAGCAGCGACGAAGACAACGACAGCGACAGCAATACCTAAGCACGCGTTCAGGGGATAAAGCTTCCTGCGTCGACCGAGCCTCAAGTCCGTGAGGGTGAGGGGGGCGTGGCGACAAAGCCTGGAGGAAGAAGGGGCGCGGTTTCGAGCCCAGTCTCTGGTGCCCAAGAGGAGACCTCTCAGTTCTTCCCTGCTGCCGGCCTTCCCTCCCCAGAACAAGGTAAGGGACGCGACCTGCCCACCTCGTTCCTCTCTGCGCCGCCTAGCCTGGCCTGTGAAGTCGCCCGGCTGACGGTGACAAGCCGTTTGTGGCCCCGGCGCGGGTCCGCCCCGCCTGCCGCCTCCCCTCCAGGAGTGCCGAGGGGCCGCAGCGCAGCTGGCAGCTGCCAAAGGGGTTAGGGGTGCCACGCGGGGCGGGGCTGGGCCGGAGCTGGACTCTCCAAGCCACCGGTCCTCGCTCTCGGTACTGGGCTGCCGCCGTCTCTCGGAACATGGCGGGGCCGGGAGGAGCGTGTGCGTGCGAATGTGCGCGGCGGCCCGAGAGGGCGCCGTCGGCTTGCCGCCGCCCGACCCGGCGGGGCGGGTCGGGGCGGGGGTGGTACGCGCCCAGCTCACCGTGCGCGCTCGCCAGCCTGCCAGCGGAAAGCCTCCGCGGCCCCTCCCTGAGGGAGCATTTGAGGTACTGGGGGTCGGGGAAGAGGTGGATGAAAGAGAGAAGGAAAATTGTCACTCTAATAGTCTCGGGAAGGGAGAGCGGCCACGCTGCAGTCCTGTCTTAAACGCCAGTGTAATCTGTTCTTGTCGCATTGGGCAGTTGGTTCTCTTCATCATTCTTTGAGTGCTTATTCAAATGATGTTCTTAGACCTTTAGAGTACCTCAGGTTCTTAAATCTTATTTTGAGATGTAATATGGAGTGACGTAGCCTGAAGGATCTCAAAGCGTTAAATAAACGGTTGTACAAAGAGGTTACCGAAGCCCAGCTGACAGCTGTTTTAATAACAACAGTAAGAAACAGATTAAGATGGGAAGTTAACACTATTACACCAGTTGAAACCATAAGCAACATTTTAAGCAGTGTAGTCATCGACGTTGTCATTTCCAGTGGACACCCGCGGGTGAAATGGGTTGCAGATCCAGTGATCTGTAACGCTTTGGAATTACTATCGCTAATCCTGAAGGTGGAGTGAAACTGTGTTCTCAACCATCTATATATTTTTTTATTTTAAAAACGTTTATGTGAATTATAAAGGAAGATGAACTAACAAAGTAGCTATTTTTAAAGAAATTGACTGTTTATTAAAAACATATGCTCAAGTAGGCTGTTATAAACGTTGGGCACTGATCTGTGTTAGTTTCTTTAATCATTATAAAAAGGCTTTCCTGGAGATCAGTTAAGAACTGGCAGAACATACGATCTGTTGGTGCCAAGCAGCTTAAAAACAAAAATGAGGTAGTGTCAACTGTATAAGATCAAGTTGCTATGTTAACTAATTATGTTGTTAGGGAATGTCTTTAATTTGGGCTAAATGCAAAAACATTTTAA